ACCTGGCAGACTTCGTAGTACCTAAATCGATAAATAAAATACCTAAACTTTTGTATAAAATAAACTTAAAACAAACAAAAGGAATCCGTCCGACGGGGGACACATCAAAGAAAAAACAAAATTGTTATTTTTATTTAATACTTGAGCATTTTCATATCAATCTACCTTTTAGACCTTCTCTGGACTTCCACAAATAATTCAAGACCAAAATTAACCAAATCGGTCCAGCCGTTCTCGAGTTTTAGCGAGACTAACGAACAGCAATTCATTTTTATATAATAATATATAGATTAACTTTCAGAAGTAGCTATAATACATACACGTAACTATGTACATGTTTTCTCGTAACGAGAAAACNTTTTCATATCAATCTACCTTTTAGACCTTCTCTGGACTTCCACAAATAATTCAAGACCAAAATTAACCAAATCGGTCCAGCCGTTCTCGAGTTTTAGCGAGACTAACGAACAGCAATTCATTTTTATATAATAATATATAGATTAACTTTCAGAAGTAGCTATAATACATACACGTAACTATGTACATGTTTTCTCGTAACGAGAAAACATTAAAACAACATCGCATTACAGCTCGAGTTTACAAACACGGTTACAAGTCGGCTGGCCTCCTGCCAATCCGACGTAAAATTCATTAATCATACGTAAGACGGTAGGTACATTGTTTTTTGTTCGTCATCCGCTAATATTGGTGCGTGGCTGGCAGCGGGGCGCGTAGGGAACCGCCAGAGTTGGTAACACTGTCCAAGGATTCTTGTATGAATACTGGATGGGAAACTATTATAATTAGGATGGTTATGTTAAACGGTAGTATGGTCGTGTCGTGCGTCCGCGTCAATAGGTAACACGCTGCCTATTCTTGGTGCGTAGTAGTTGCCTTCCGCTCTTAATGGTGGTTAGACTACACAATTGAGTCTCCGATCGCACACGCAATTAGTTGGAGCTCATAACAGATGCTACTAATAATTATAGATTTAAAAAAAATATGCTTAGATGGGTGGACGAGCTCACAGCTCATCTGGTGTTAAGTGGTTACTGGAGCCCATAGACATCTACGATGTAAATGCGCCACCCACCTTGAGATATAAGTTTTAAGGTCTCAAGTATAGTTACAACGGCTGTCCCACCCTTCAAACCGAAACGCATTAATTACTGCTTCACGGCAGAAATAGGCAGGGTGGTGGTACTTACTCACAAGAGCGTGCGGACTCACAAGAGGTCCTACCTAAACAGAGATAGATTAAGGAGTCGCATGGAGAAAGTTAAGGAAGAAGCAAGAATAGCTTGAAGATTTATTTTCATTTAAAAATCTAGTGAAAACTGAAATGTCCGTCGACCCAGAGCGAGTATGACCGCGCAAACTATAAACGAGTCCTTGTGAAGACTCGGAGACGCTCAGTAGCACGCGCGCGCCGGAAGTACTTATTTATAGATGGGTATCCTCGTTCGTTGAGTCACCGGGCCGCATTGTCGGGGTTCGATTCCCGTACTAAATTAGGATTAGCCTTCGTCAATTGTTCGCTCGAGTGATGAATGCGTGATTGTAAAATTACGTTCGCTAAATGTTTAGCTTTCATTTTGAACACGACTTCAATGATGTTCATATTAGTTTATGTTCACCTACCTGCATTTGAATCGACGACCGCCGGTCCGACGTTCCGAGGGGGAGGGTGATGGGAGAGATGTGCTCAGCACTAAACGCTTCACTCTCCCCCCTTTGCCTTTTCATGAGTTCTGTCTCATGCGAGGTTCGGACGTCGGTTGTTAAGCGACAGGAGGTTTTAGTCAGTTCGACTCCCAAAAAAAAACTTGCACTTGAATAATAAAAATACTGTTTTGTTTACAATTAAGCTAAATTATGGTATTAAGTTAAATTTTAAGTGAGCTGGTTATATTATTTGGAAAAAAAAAAATAGATTCGATGATATTCTCTCAACATGGAAATCGTTAGTTAGGTACGTGTTTACCGAACAATTTGTATCTGCCTTTAGGATTTGAGCTCGGCTCGATATAAAAATATCCTGAATGACCTTAGACTCCCCGCGCACTAGGAAGCTTGGCTGCGGCAACCAGGTTGCGGCAGCCAGGCGATTATATGGCGGTGTATGGGAGCCCACGCACATACGTAGACCGGAACTCTTGGCTGCGGCAGCCAATACAACGCGCCTGTGTGGCTGCTGTCAGTCCCCGCGCACTTGCTGTAGCAGCCAATGCATATTCGTTTTGTCAAATGTTAGTTATATGACACAGCATGCTTGTTCAATCTTTTGTATTTAAAAGAACCGGTCTGGGTATGTATGAACATCTTTAAAATAGTTACAGAATAAGCCTTTTGTGTGCCGTTCTAGAAAAAGCGGATGAATCCAGTGTATTTTCTTTGCTTTGCGTTTTTTACAAGATAAAGTCTAAATCGTTCGACGAAAGGATCATAAATGGGCGACGATTGGTTTCTATAATTGGCTGCTTAAATATTTCGGTTGCCGCAGCCAGGCTGCCTAGTGCGCGGGGAGCCTTAAACAGGGCCTTAGTAGTAGGCAACGACTCGAACTGTGAACTCGGCATTAACGTTATTAGCGGCCATGAGCACTTACTTCTTCGTAAACCCAGAACTGTTGTTCTTTATTTGCGTATAAGAGCAGACGATACACCTGATGGCAAGCCCTTATCGGAGTCCAAAGATAACACGCCACATGTGGATGCCGCAGGCTGGGAATATTGATTTGGTAGAGTCTTCATGTTTCACGTCAAGTGGGCTGCGAATCACCCGCTAATAAAAAAACAATTGAAAAATAATTATCCAGTCGCACGTAATGTTTCTTTGATAAATGTCAATGATTAGTTGAATAATGTCTCTGCTTTGTGCAGTTAATAATATACGGGTTCCGAGATGTAGCGACAGTGTAGCGATTACGCAGTAAGTTCGTTATGAACATCCTCATTATGACGAACAATGTTTTGAAGGCAACAATGTTAGATTAGCTGCTAATTTTTGCACAACCGAATTTTTCATTTTATTTGTATTTACAACATGTACATGTCGTCAAAGTCGACCTGGTATTTAGCGTTTAACTGACCATACATAGTTTTGGGGATGTATCTGTGTGTTTTAGAGACTCCAATTTATTGAAACACACACAGCAGTGCTTAGAGCACAGAAATGCACAGGAAAAAAGCCGTTGCGAGGTCAACATGTAATTATAAATGTTTTTAGTTTTCCCTGTCTATCTATAAGTGTTTTATGTCATAATGTATATATATTCAACTTTAACGAATAAAACTATTCAATTTGGTTTAAATAAATTAAAATGAATAATAATCTAAGTAATGAGTCCGTGTCATCTGTCTTATTGACATGAAATTTTGTACATAACGGCTGTTTTTGGCGTTTCTGGGAAGGTTTTTGATATAGCGCCATAAAACAGCGCGCGAGTAGTTTCCAAATATCAGCGTGGTTCTTTCAGCCGTGGACACGAGCGAAGCGTGGTCCGGATTCACTAGGAAATGTAACATTAAAAACAATAATATCGATACCGCCGTTATAAATACACTGTGTACAGCAATGACGGGTACATGGTTCGTGAGATCATCGCTAATTTCGTATGAGTTTTATGTCGACGGTTCGATACATTCCGAATCGTTCAGATACACTGGCTAATGTCTAGTTGATGCTGTGCTCGCCGTGACCGGCTGAAGACGTGGGATCCGGAATTTGGGTCGCGGAGACGAGACAGCTGTACGCGTGGCAGGAGGCGGTCAGAACCTCTCAGTCAACGCGTTCCGGTTTGAAGGGACAGATTGATGCCATTCCAATACTATTGAGACTTCGAACTCATGTTTCAACTTTAACGGCATTATTCACGAACTTATATCTATGGACTTCTCTATATGAACGTCTTTTTATTTAATGCAACCAACAACAATGTAAAAATGACATTTACATTTAATAGTCGTCGTGTCGTGAAGGCGTAGCGTACGAATACAGTGGTAGTAGGACGTCTTGTGAGTCCGCACGGGTAGGTATCGCCGCCCTGCCTATTTCTGCCGTGAAGCAGTAATGAGTTTCGGTTTGAAAGGCGGGGCTGCCGTTGTAACTATACTGAGAACTTAGAGCTCATATCTCAAGGTAGGTGGCGGCATTTATGTTTGGAGTTGTCTATGGGTTCCGGTAACCACTTAACATCAGTTGGGCTGTGAGTTCGTCCACCCATCTATGCAATTTTTTGTTTGAGACTAAAGAAAAGTGTCGATGACGCGTATAGTCGGTGTGACGAAGTGGTTTCCGCATGCGGTCACCGCCGCCCGGTCCGGTCCGGTCCGGCTGATAGCGCACTCTTTATCAATTTAACATTGACCCCGTGCGGCTCTGTCCGTGTATTAATATACATTATTGCTACGGAATCGGTTCGACCTTTATTATATTAGGGAAACAACCTTCTTCGCTGTTACAAACGCCTACATTTATATATGCATGTGTGTTCGTTAGAGTATTATATTAAATAATGCAGGAATAATGTAAGTCTTGCTGATTTTTATAGTTGTTAAATCGTTAATGAAGTTGGAAAATCAGCAAATAAACTATGTAAGTCATCGAACGTAAACTGATTGCGGATAGAAATATTATAAGAACAATTAAACAAACAACAATTGTAAAATTAATTCTGATTATTTACAGGTAGCAGTTTTTTGTTCATGTCTAAAATATTTGTAAATTTTTCGAGAACACCAAAATAGTTCTATAACTTCATAAAAGATGGCGCTGTTATCAACTTTGTTCTTCTGAAATCTGTTAGACATTCTTCGACACCTAATGAATTAACGTAGTTGTTATTTTACAAACATGTTGCCCGTTTTATGAATGCTGCTTGTGTATGTAGTAGAGTGTTCGTGGTCATGGACGACGTGACGTAAAACTGTTGTAATCGTACCGTGCATTATGAATTTAATTTCATTCATTTTCTATAATATTGACCTTCATTTCCCCAGGAGAGTCAAGAAGGGAGGGTTCGACGGACGAGCCGTCCGCCCCCGAAGTCGACGTTGATAGTAACGATGTCAACTCTAAAGAAGCTGACAAGGAAACCAAGTATGTTTACTTCTGACATTAATTGAATAAACTCTTTCATTTTCCATTGGAGTCTGGGATAAAGCCTGTTTCTACGCTGTTTCCCTGTAGCATATCCTACTTCAACCCATGTTTGAAAAGAAAACGCCTGGACTGTACCTCTCATAATTACCTACGATCTCACAGACGTGTACGAGTCCATAGACACGTGAATATGGTTGATGCCCAGGTTGTGTTGCGGCCAGAGATCAGCCTCCGTTGTATCGGAGATATGGGTGATAAATACCCTTCACACTGTGGATACGATCACCCCTGACTGATTATTTGTGGTCGCTGTCTGTCATTGCAAACTGACATTCTTCTAATAAACTCCGTAATTACTATATAATACTAATAACAACAATAGGTAGGTACGGTCAAAGAGTGATTTTTCGTTATTACATTAATTAGCTCTGTCTATGTCCTGTCGCTCTGTAACTACAGAAAGTTTTCAAATATACACTCTCTTGAATACATAATAGTTATAAGTTATGTGTAGATGCCAAATTTTCCTTCGTCATATTGCCTATACCCCTCTAGAAAATTCTAATGCGCATCTAAAGATACGTTTTACGTTAACTACATATTAAATAAACATTAATTGATACAGTTAAACCGTTCTCAATTATTCCAAATGTAAAGTACTAGTGACGTCTAGTGTAGTACTAGTGGCATCTGCTTAAAATGTAATTTAACTGTGTTGTCGCTAATCGACACTAGATGGTCGACTAACGACAACACAGTTATATTATCGATCTTTTGTTTAATCATAGTGCTGGAACATATTACCTAATAATGATAATAATATTTTTAGGTTTACCTACAAAAAAAAAGAACCAAAGATTAACCATAAATGCAGTGAATATATTAATAGTTGCATTCAAGCATATTTCAATAAGCCCTTTTTTACATTATACGATCAGATTCGATATTACATAGCTGTTTGCATGTAAAGCGTTACATACGGCCAGTTACTGTCATGTTTCTATTATTTTAAATGTATTTGCCATTTTGCCAGTGTCATAGAAAGTGCTACACAAAACACACGTATTTTATTTCAAATATCAAGCCACTCAAAACACAACCTTATCACCTCAACAATAGCCAATATTGTTATCAAAGTTTGATAACAACGTTTTGAATGTGTTGTTGATGTTTGGCGTACAGTTGGCGTACAACGACATCTAGCGGTCGCGGCGTGAACCGCGCCGAGAGCTGTCGCGAGCGCGACGCGCCCCGCCGCGGGAAGCACCGCAACGCCAGCGACCCCAACCGACTCACCGCACACAACAACCAGTGAGTGCTCAATATCAACTATATTACACGAATATAGAACTTATAAATGAAACCGTCAGGGTCAAAATTGTCTAACCCATAATTTTTTATATCATGCTTTATGTATTGAAATCGATTTAAAACAACAAATTTTCATGCAAAACTGGCCTATCCCTAGTTTCAACCATAGATAATAGATGGCGTTGTAAACATTATTTTTACGCGAACATTACTTTTGCCTACGAAGCAGTGTAAAATTAATTCAAATTTCATTACCTCCATACTAACGATGGTAAGCTTGGATCACTTTTGCGCTGACGGTTTCAAATATTATGTAACAGATCTCACCCAAAAACAGTCTCCAGGTGAGAATTGAAATAAAAAAAAATTGACGAAATTCTAACGCTATTAAAGAAATTATTGAGGAAATTATATCATAGCGGACACATGAGGTTTATAATAGAAAATAATATTACCCACATTTTGAGACCATTGGAACATTCGTAGTTTAATTTTTAACGTTGCAAAAGGTTTTACAGAATTCCACGTAGTGTCGATCGTGCAGTCAGAACACCGTAAACATAAAAAACACATCAATAGGAAATGAATTCGCTATAAAATATATCGAGTTGAACGTTATTATGTATGTAACGTACTCGGAGGCTCAGATCGTTCTTTTTTGGACAAATTCAGTGACGTCACAAAAATATCCAGCTACAAGCAACACTGATTTATGACCTGATAGTGATTGAATTGTTGAACTTCACATCAACGTTTTAATGTTAAAAATACATTATTGGTTTGCGAACCTTGAGTAATAATATCGAAGTGTTACTAAGTACTTACGTCGCTACCTGAATTCCGTATAGATTCAATCAATAATTTGATTGGAACCCAAAAATCGTTGATATACTCAACAAGATCAGTAAAATAAAACAGACAGTAAATAAAAAAATTCAAACGTTCTGTTGATTCGTATTATGTATTTGTATTAATAAAGTTGGCTAGTCCCGATTAACTGGAATAGTTTATGGACGAACAATCGATAGCAACTCATCGCTCGAGCGCTCTATTGAAAACACCTATCCACTAGCTAGCTAGTTAGTATAGGAGATAGCTCTATAAAATGTCACAGTCTACGTCATTTACAGAAGGATAAAAATTCAAACATCATTTCAGTTTTAATATCGTATTATATTCATTAGTTTTCCCATGTTGCACTAAATTCGTCGTGGCCTAATGGATAAGACGTCCGGTGCATTCGTGTTGAGCGATACACCGATGTTCGAATCTCAGGCGGCTACCAATTTTTCTAATGAAAGGTGGGGCAGCCGTTGTAACATGTTGTAACTATATTTGAGACCTTAGAACTTATATCTCAACGTGGGTGGCGCATTTACGTTGTAGATGTCTATGGGCTCCAGTAACCACTTAACACCAGGTGGGCTGTGAGCTCGTCTAACCAACTAAGCAAAAAAAAATCGAAAGACAATTCGCCAATAGAGAAGACGTTCTACTATTGAAATTTCATAGTTCATTACAATGTGATTGGCAAACTGTATTCCTGTTGTTGTAATTACAGAGTGGTAACCGCTTAATAAACCGAGTCAGCTGTATATTTTATCAAAGAAGTCCATAGAAAAATGTTAAAAACTATTTATGCTTTGATTCTAAGTCGACCCTTCTACACGCTATCGATTTGACGTGCATCTTTTTTTTATTTCGTGTTCTCTCCAGATTCAAACTTCAGGCGTCCAGACATCAAATTGTTACAAGTTCAAATAGAATTTCAAACGGTTATCACCTTTAATACACTTGAGAATAAATACAATTTTTCTGTGAACGGAATTATAATACCAATTTTATTAAGAAACAAAATTCTAGATCGAATTTTGTTTGTGTTAGAACAATTTCTATTGAATAGTTTATGTTCTTTATCGAAAAAAAATATGTATTCTTCTATAATACATTTTTTAGTAGGTATATTTCAGTAATGTATGTTAAACCATCTTGTTTTATTGGTGATTGTGTACAAATTCTATAGTTGATGTCATTATTACATAGTGTTACAGTCTTATTTTTAGTTCTTGGATCTCGTATGCTGTTTATCATCAGTAGCGTTGAGATCACGAGGTACTTGGATGTGTTCTCGACAAAAATAATTTCAGTAAAACTACAATAGCAAAATGCTTACCGCAAAGTCACTTATCATCAATTGAATCATCTGAAAATCCAATTGCGCCCAGCATTGCAGGTTGTTATTTCGGTATCATTACTAGAAACTGTAAATTCTTGGAACATTGATAATTTTCTTCATAATTTGCGTAAACAAGACCCACGTAAAGTTTAATGTGAGCCGTCTGTTTGTAAACAGTTTTACAAACAATGGATCTATTTAAAGTGGTCTTTATGCCGGTAATAGCAAATTAACATCGACCTGCGTTTCAAAGGAATCTACTATCTGCCTGAGGTCAAGTTTAATGGTTTTTGTGTGATATCTCAAGCTACGTTGCATTTATAAAATTAAGGAGACACCATTTTCCTTATTATCTTCAGCGTATGGTATTCGAATACTTTGACACAGCGGCTTAGCTGTACCTCTGGTATCCTGACGTCCATGACCGACGGTGACCACTTACTGCCAGGCGGGTATGCTACTCGTCTATCTGTCTACGAGGACAGTAAAATATAACTGAAATTTGCAAAATAAAGTACACACTATACTAGACGAAATTCCCAGCGTAACGGACCGAGGTGGCAACTTTAATTGGTTTATTGAATCCAATAAGACAAGAGCTCGGTCGATGAAAATGTTATTGCTTATGAGAGATCAAGCGTTGCTGGACGTGTCGTTTCAGTAACAAGCTCATACTATTTCAGATTTCAGTACAAATCGGGACGCGGTCGACGACGCATTGCGGGCGCTGTGTCGTCCTGTGTTAAGCGAATTTGTCTCTTAAACTGAGAGCAGTAAAGTTTTAATACGACGTACTGAAGAAATTACGAATTCTCAAAACATTCTTTTATGTTATTTGCATTCTAAGGTATAGTCCGTCTCCGAATAAAATAGTAAGTAGAAAATTAAATTGAGGAATTTGTTTCCGGAAATTCTTGTGTCGCGACATCAAGATGGCCACCCTAGTTTCGGTCACCCAAAGTCTGGTCATACTATTTTTGAGATTGCGCCGTTGCATTGTGTCTGTCGGTACACCGGGCGCCTTACCTATTCGCCGTGAAACGATATGATGCCCACATTAAAGTGAACAGCCTTTGTCTCCCCGGTCTGGTCGTTATCAGCACGGAAACGGCTGTCTCACCGGTTCCATGCGGCTCTATACAAAACTAGCTTTTGTCCGTGACTCCGTCCGCGTGGAATAGTTACTTTGGCATAACGCTAAATTTTACCAACACTTCATTTACGTAGAAAGTGAAAATATTTTTGAATTATAGAATGTTATGGAGCTATTTAAACCCCTATTTTGAAACATGCTTTATTGGTGCTCCACTTGTATTGGTCTTACCGTGATGTTATAGCCTTCCTTAATAAATGGGCTATCTAACACTGAAACAATTTTTCAAATCGGACCAGTAGTTCCTGAGATTAGCGCGCTCAAACAAACAAATTCTTCAGCTTTATAATATTAGGTATAGATTGGAACCGAATCTTGTCTTGCCATTGCGCTGCTGGAATCTATTTATTGTGTTGTTGTATGATGAAATCTCTCGTGTATTTCTCGTGTCGTACGTTGATGGTACCATGACAGAAGCCTTTGCTGGAGTGCCAATAACAAGTGTAGCAAGTTCGTCCATAATCGGATAAATGCTTGGAGAACTTATAGAGGATAAAAGTATAAACGAAAATCATTTATTTTATATATAAAGAAGCACTTTTATGTTATTGCTCGGTAGACCGACGGTGCTTGTGCAAGGTTTTTTGCGATTATTGGGATTCAAGTTTTGGCCTGATTTGTTAAAAGGACTCATAGATACCACCACATTTACTGATCAACTTGTCACTGCTTGTCAAAGCTGGATGAGAAAAGTCGTAAATCAAGCTCAGTGGCGTGCAATTGGAGGGACCTATGTTCAACAGTGGACTGCTATGGGCTGATGATGATAATGGGTTCTTGGCAGGGTATATAACATTCTATTACTTTTTTTTGCGAAATTCCGTCACTGGTGGCAGTTTGGCTGGCCTATTAGTTCTCAGAATAAATTGATATTCGATCCCTTCGTTGGGAGAACCTATTTTCATCTTATTGACAATTTGACTCCTACGTCCCCACCTCTGATCCTTATTTGGAACCACAAAACTGTTTGTTTCTGCAGTAAAAGCAGTTATGCGTATCGGGTTGATGGGTAAGGTATCGTCAATTATTCCAATGCTATTCAGGTTTCGACCTAATATCTCAGCGTGGGTGGTCAGGTTGTCATGTTGTCTGTAACTGTACACGGCACCACATGTTAATTAAGACAGGAATTGCCATTTTGCCTTTTTGACATTAGCCCAGATAGTGCATTCTAGATTGAATATTAATCTCTCTTTTTGTCTTTTTATATTCACTCCGTTAGTGTTATTTTCATTACCCCTCCAATTTAAGACAATTACGATTACTAGTGGTCTCGCGGTAGTCGAAATTCGACTATAATTAATTGAAATTATAACTTTGTACATTATTATGATTATATTGTCAAAGACTATTTATTATACTTCCAAATCACAGATTTCGCCAAGACTATGTATACACTTTAGACAAATATTAATATAGACAAAAAATATTTAATCTATTCGCAATTTGACCACAGACTATAAGCAATAAGAAAAGTTTGACAATAGTCAAATAGTATGCATGGGTGTGTGTGTCAAATACATGGTAGTATGTGTAATGTTTTTTTTATTGATTTAATGTATCTTTTGTGCATTATTTAAAAAAATATTAGCATTGTGCACTTCTTCTCTATATTCTCTATAAGTGTGGAAAATTTCATACTCTTCCGTCTGCGCAATTTTCGCAAAAAGG